ATCAATATTATAATTTAAATTTTATTATTTCTAAAAAAATTTAATTTATTATTAAATATTAATATTTTTAATAAATAAACCCTTTCAAAATTTAATTTTAATTAAATAAACACATGCACATAATTAAAATTATCTGAAAAAATAAAAATTCATTTCAATTTTATAAATCCCCAAATTAAAAACATGCATGTATTATTAGTGTTAAAAACAAAAGTAAAATTTTTTATTTTTCTATACAAATTAGTGAAAAAGGTATGTAATTTAATAATGGTATTAACTTTTTTAAAAAAATAATAAATTTTAAATTATACTATTGATTATTGTAAATTAAAATTAAAATCTTGATAATTGAAAATTCAAATCATTATCTTAATTAATTATTACATTTAACATAGAATTTAAATTTTAAAAACAAAGTGTTGCAAAAAAAATATATGTACTATATTTAATATTTTTCAAAAGTTTAGGATGCAAGTTGTTTACACCAACTTGTTTAGACAACGTTCCGTTATTCTAGTTAACAGAATGTTTGTCAAGTATATCATTTTAAAATAAAATTGATAGTTTATAGATGATTTTGAAAGAAAAAATTATTTTTAAACTAAATTGAAATTAATCACATAATAGATTATTTATTGAATTTAGCCCAAAAAAATTGGGTTAGAATGATAATGATTGGATAGGGAATGACACCACTAATAGCCATGGTGGAGAATGTAGGTGTTTTGCCCACTTTCTGTTGTCTCTTTCGTGACAATGTTGCCTACGTGTATTTCTTGAAAATGATTTGCCCAGTGTTGAATATGTAATTCCCATTATGTTGGCCCCTGAAGGAGTATATGAAGTACTGCTTCAGATTGGCAATTATCACTGCAATCCGCATGCAAAACTTTGTTAAAGTATGGGTTCGGATTAATCTAGACATGACCCCAGTTCCACAGTACCAAGAACATGTATGGAACATAGGAGTGCACCAAATTCTGCAGTATTTTGTTGTTTCAACTCCAAATCTGCTATGAGACTCGTGTCACCACCTGATGAAACCAAAAATGTCGGAACCACACAGACTTTTTCTTGAAAGCAGCACGAGGTGTTGTGAAAATAATTCTATATGAAGAAAATCATGGTTACTGCTTTGGTGTATGATAATTTTAGTTGATATAGTTGCCAAAAAAATAGAAGAATACCGGGTATTGATATTTTTTTTAAAAAATTTATTGAGTTCTTGGATATTTTAGGGAGGCTAACGTCATCTTGCTAGAATGGAACTCCCTCCAATCTGATTTTTCTGTTTTTTGAGGATTGCCATCCTGGGCTGGTTATGTATGGTATTGCTGACGCTCGAGGGATTGAATTCTGCCACTATGACTCTTTTATGCTTTATTCAAAAAGGAAACTTGGTGTGCAATCTAACCTGTGCAGAACTGCACTGAACCCAGCCCATGCTGGATTGCAAAAAAAAGGTTCTTTGTTTGTTGTTGGAGATTGACGTCTGCAATTTGTAATTTCTCGTATGTTTACCCCCCTCCCCCCAATTGAACATCTATGAGACCCCCATTGAGGTTGACAAAAACCTGCAACCTAACTCCATTTTTTTATTTTTTTCAAGTGGAGATTATAATTTTTTCTCTTAAGCTACGAGAAGTCCTTTTAAAACAAAACTAGAAAACAAAACTTGCAGAAAATGTATTATGCAATCTGATTTATCTTTGGATGGCAAGATAAGACTTGAATTTAGAAGTTAACCTTTCATTTAATCGTTGTGATTTTACAATTCAATGTATTCTAAACTATAAAACTATAAACTCAAACTAATATAAAAATTAATCTTCCCTTCTCTTCTATCTCTCTATCCTAATAACTAGCAAATGTCCCCTCGCCAGTATATATATATATAGAAATAAAAATCTAGCTAGTGTGTTAGGACAGGATCAACCTGGGGTGGAGCACTTCTCTCATATTGTGAAAATATAGAAGGCTGCGAGAGCCTTTAAAATCAAGTCTTGGGACACATCCATTAGTCTCCAAAACATTATCATTTCACACCATTGATCTCGAGCATAATAATTCAAGTCCAAACTCAACATCGAGAACAAGATATATCTCAGTAAAAAGGAAAGCAGACATTCTTGTTCAAAGTCATGACATTATCGTACAGAGTTACAATAACGATGAAGACAACTCAGATGTATATGATAAGGTGGAGAGTCCACTAATTAAACAATACATTTTCTTCTTGCAAGTTGCAACGGTGCCTTGGCCATTCATATGCACGATTTATATTTTGTTTTAGATATATGTCCTTGCCACTTCCTTTTGTTGGAGTCACTAGAAAAGTTTGAACACATTCTTTGGTTTGCCTAATATTAGCTTGCAAATTACTAATGCTTTTAATCTTTTATGTGTATTGAGAAAATTGAAGTTAGGTGTTCACACGAGAGTAAAAAATATCATATTGGATGTGAAAAATAAGTAACTTATATATGTAAAAACTTATAAATCTAATAGGCTAGTTTTTTAGATTCAAGATGATGTTTTCTTATATTGGGTCCTTGCTTGATGTTGCTACCATCTAGATGCTTAATCTAACAGTATCAATAGTGCCCTGGACTCCCCAGTAGTAGTATCAAAGCTGAAGGTTCAAACTTCGGACAATAATAGTGGGCTCAATGCTGGGAAAATAGTAAGTGCTTCCACTCTTTTTGCGTGTTGAGGTGGACAATTCTTCTACCTAATTGGAGTGTCAAGATGAGTATATTCCTCAAGTAAGTGCACATGAGAGAGTAGGGTGTTGAGATATGAGGATACCTTCACTTGAAGATAGGGCGAAAACTGGAAAATGAGCAATGTTACCCTCACGATGTTATCCTCACAAGGGAGCTATATATGTAGATCTCAATTGAACCAACTTCAAGGGTGTCCTCCCTTTGCTCACGAAGGTAGACTAGCATGAGATGTTGGAGACTCATAAGTGAATGGGGGAGACTGTTGGGTGTTCACATATGAGTATGGAGAGAATCTCATAACAAAAGTAACAAGTAAAAAAAAAAGTAGTTTATGTACATAGAGACTGTAAATCTAATAAAATAATCTTCTAAATTTAAGATAGTTTTTTCTGATATTAAGCCCTTACTTACTTGAGTGTTACTACCAATCTAATTTCTCAACCCAACAACGTGAGTAGTGCCTTTATCAATCCATTTTCATCTATCTCAAGATTCAACATTTTCCGTCTTTATTGCCATCACAATGTGTCAAGTCATTGGATCACCCAGAAGGATGTGTTTGTCTAGGCTGCAAGGTGATGAATCTTTGGGCGGGTCCGCCAATTTTTTGGGCTACATGTACTGGCTTGAATATGGGCCTGAACAATGAACTACGTCCATATCCCATTACCACCAAGAGGTCGGTTACCAGGAGCCTTCACCTAGATCAACAACCAATCTGCCCAATCTCTAAGAATAGCTGGTGAGAAGGTTAGGACTCAAGAGAGGAAATGACAAATGATCATTAACTAACATTCTAAGATTCATCAACCCAGATGCTTTGGGACAAATTGATTCGGAAAGGCAATGCATCAAGTAATTGGTATATCGATCGATCGCAAAAGGGATGAAGTTAATCATGCATGCACTAACATTGAATATATTCATTAATTCACTTGAGATTATGAGATTCATAGATTGAAATTCATTGTGTGAGTATGGCTGAGCTTCTAGCAGTTTGTTCTTAGTATGAATTTTTTTATCTTGTATTCTTAAAGCGTAGTAAATTTATTATTTTGTCATTAATTTATATTAAAAAATAAAAATTTATTTTTAATTTATCAATTGTTTAATAAAATTTATTCACCCAACAATGATACTAAAATAAATGTCAACACTTATATTTATATATATATTTATGATGAAAGAATATCTTTATTTTATATTCTAAAAGTACAAGTTACAAAAATCATTTTAATTTATGCCATCGTCCTCAAGTAACCATCTCGTGAGACACACCAAAGGCAGAGAAAATGCCGTGTTGGTGTGTTGGTGGTCCCAAAAAACTACCAATAAGTTATGAGCCCCCATATCTACCATTCTACATCAATAATGCAAGCAAAATTCACATGTATATATAAATAAATGATAACTTCATCATCACTTTGTAAAAAGTTTTGGATTAAAGTGATAGAACCTAAGAGGGCCTTAAATTGAACTAGAATTGTTATTGAGCAGCTAATTATTAGTTCAACCATACAATACTTTGTTTCTCTTAATAATGAAGTGGTTAGCTTTTGTTGATCGGATGCTACATATAGTCCCACAAAATAGTCATAAGTAGTCATACAACTTTTTGAGTCCTTTTTTCGCAAGGACGAAGCTTGAACAAAATTTAAGAGGCTAAATTTTTTTTTTTTATCACATATAAATATAGTAATATAATTACAATATATGTAATATAAGAGATAATTTAACATGAAATATGATATTATAAAATTAAATTATTTTATTTGCTCAAATTATAAGAATTCATGGAGAAAATTTTAACTACCAATAAAATAATTTAAGTTTGTAGTATCATGAAATAAATTTGTTACAAAATTTTATATTATAATTTAATAACAATAAAATAAAATTGTTTATTAACATAAAAGATGACACTATAAAACTAAATTATTTTATTTATAATGTGAGCATGATAGTTAACTTATAAATTAAAAAAAGTGAGAAATTAGTTTTTTTTTTCTCAAAAATTAAAATTATTTGATCACTTAAAAAATTAAGAGTGTACAATACAGAATTAGAGAAAGATAAAAAGAGATTTAATAGGGAAAATTTTAACTAATAATGAAATATAACGATATATCATGAAAAGATGAATGATTAAGGGGGACGAGCAGAATTAGGGTCTAGAAATTTAGGATTGGTTAAAGATTTGAAAACTATCTTTATGATATTCTTTTAAAAAATAGATGTTCTATAGGATTTTTTTCATTATAATCACAAAAGGCGAAAAAAAAAAGAAAAGAAAAAGAAAGAAAGCATTTCATAAGTCTATTTTCCTGAACTTCAAATAAATCTTTGGATTAGATTTAGACTCTTGAATTATGTACTAAAATTTTCAAGCTAAATATTTACTTATTTACTAAATTTATTTGTGTATATTAGTTTTTTTTATAGTAATTTTGTATTAAAATACTTAAAAAATATTAATTTTTTTCCAAAAGGGCAGTTATCCTGTCACTGATTTTTTCGTCTCATTTACATATTGTATAATTTAAAGGAAGATGATCCGTACACTTTTGGTTTAATATATTTTTTTTTTACATACTTTTAATTTAATTATTAAAAATATAATATAAATATAATTCAACTAATTTTTACATTTTGTATGCATGATTATATTTTTAAACTTATTTACCTTTAATTTTATATTGAAAATTAGTGATTTTTAATGAGTATATTAATAATGTGTTAAATTAGACTATGTACCAATCACTATTCTAATTTAAAATCCAAATCTACAAATTACCAACTCAATATTTTCACACTAAAGCAAATTGCACGTCTTTAAGAATAACTTATCTAAATTTAACAATTATTGTTGGATTATTACTCTTAAAATCTAATAAAAAATTTACAGTAACTATTAAATTTAAGTTAATTTCTTTAACAAAAAATTTTAAAGTGATAAATTATGTTAATATTTTTTTTATATGACAATTTATTTATTGTAACAAATTTAAGAGAAAATCTGCACCTTTTACCAAACTTAAATATTGAAAAAACAATTAGTTGAAGTAACTTATCATCTGCATCTTCTATTACTTAAATCTCGAAAAATCAGTTAGTTGTGAGTCTCTATTCTCAATATATAACTTGATTTGTTAATGAAAGTAGAGTTAAATAATGCCAAATTAGTTTATACTTTAACGAGTTAGATGGAATTCCAAGGGGTGGTGTTATTGCCACAGCCACTAATGTTAATGCCACAGCTTTTTTTAGTTATTTGACCATTAACCCACGCGGAGAAGGTAGTGACTGCTGCAAGTTGGATTCAAACGAGGGGTATAATAGTCAAATAACTAAAAAAAGCTGTGGCATTAACATTAGTGGCTGTGGCAATAACACCACCCAATTCCAAGCGGTCATTTCCCTCGATTTTTAATCCCATTGCCCATTGAAAGCCTGCAAACTTTCTTTTTCTAAGAGCATTGAAGAGAGAAGTGAGATTCTATTGCGTAACGGACACCTACTCAAATATTAAATTCCCCACCTAAACATTTACAGGTCGAATTTGGAAAGTGAGGTAGACATTATTATTAAGTTCTGCTTCCAATACAGGATCAGCTTCCTTCACTGTATGTACATAGTGTTCCTTGTTGGCCCAAAAAAGCCAAGAAAAAGAAAAGAGAACATAATGTTTCTCAAATTGAGGTGGAATTGGCTGGGTTGGGTAATGTCATGTCTTTTGTAACTGACTGCTAATCGTTCCATGGCATAGGTGTAATGTCACGGTTTTTGTATAACAAGATAATAACAGTTTTCTTCGGAGATAATACATTTTTTAAAAAAATTTTAAATTGTACTTGTTTTTATGGTGTGGAGGCTGCCGATTATAATGGTCAGGGACCTACACAAGTGAGAAGTGCTTGCAATAAGATTAATAATTTTTTAAATTAATTTTAAATTCCTTTAAACTTAAATTATTAATAACTATTAATTTTCATACATATATATTAAATTTACTTCTATTTCTCCACTGATATAGAATTCAGGTCATTACACTTTTTTCACTAAGGGTTTAAATAACTTTAATGGTTGATCTTGGCAAATAAATATTGTCTTGTGAGTAGATGGCTCAAATCTTGGGTACCAAATCAACGTGCAGAGTGTGTATTTAAAATCACTTAAGAAAAAAATTAGTTTTAAGATAGGCACTTGAATGAAATAATACATATTTAATATATTATTCAATTATTTTTGTAGTATGATTTTTTTTCCCTAAAAAAGCACAATATTAAAATTTTTAATCTATCTAGTAGATTTTTAGGTATTTATAAATCATTTAATTTTTTTATAATACTATTGAAAATTTCGGGGATGGGGGATGGAGATGGAAATTATATCATTACATAGCTGTGATTCAACAAAAGAAAAAAAGGAAAAATCGCGTCATGATATTTTCAAGATCACCACTTTTCTTCATTTTTTATTTTCTAAAAAAATAAATTTATGTTACCATACTTAATTTTTTTGTTTGTGACATTAACTACACCACTCTAATGAATATACACTAAAAAAAAAATTTTATCATGTGTTTTTTATGTAAGACATAAATTCAAAATACATTAATAACATTTTAAATTAATTTTATAAAAAAATTAAAAATTAATTTAAATTTTATCAATTACTTAATTAACATCATACACATATTTTTTCTTTGATAAAACAAAAGATATATTAATAATAATAGAAGAATTACAATCATACACAGATTTTTTGTGCTGAAAATAAAATTAATTTTAACAAGTTTTTATAATATAAATTAGTAAAATAAGTACAATTAATAAATACACCTCCTGATACGCCGGCCGGCACATGTTATACAATCCTTTCCAACAAGAGAATCTGCCATTCACTCAGAGGAATTGAAAGAAAGTCAAAAGGGACTGATTTTTGTCCTGTTGCCTCTTATACGTAAGCTACTCGTCTTGTTGGGCTTGGGAGAACCTCAAATTTTTAAGGAAAAATCAGATATTAAGCCTCTAAATTTGCTATTAAGCCCTTAAACTTTAATTGATATATATAAATCCTTAAATTCTATCACTTGAACAATTTATCTCTTAATTCTTTAACTACCATAAGAATAAAGACTAAATTACTACAAAAATAAGGGCTAATTTTTTTTTTTTAATCAGCAAAAGAAAGATTTTATTAAATGGAGTACAAGGGTACTTTTGCCCTTTGACAAAAACAAGCAATTATAATATGTAAGACAGCACAATCAACATAGTCAAAATAAAGCTAACCCAAAGTGCAGTAAAAATATCTACTCCTTCCTCTCTTGTTAATGATTTCCAACCCTATGTGAAGACTGGATTCAGACAAAGCGCCCCCTCATCCCAATTTTACAAGCCTTAGTCGGATTAACATACCATAAGTCTTTAGAGATTTCCGACCAAACATAAGCTTTGAGCCATTGGAAAGTTTGGCATTTAATTACCTCAATAATCTTGTATTGGTGTTTAGAGGTTACCTTGAAGACCCTTGGATTTCTCCATAACCAAATATTCCATATAGCCGCAAACCAAATTACCATCCACGCTTCCCTTGTAATCTTGTTAGTAAATAATCCTATATGCTGCAGCAAATGATTCCAACTTTTGTCTTGGGATACCACATTAATACCCCACCAATTATAGTAAGAAGACCACACCTTCCATGCCTCTAGACACATGAACAACAGATGATCTGAGCTTTCTATCTCACTACCACACAATGCACAAGACACGTCATCCTCACTAGTCAATACTTTACGTTTCTGCAGGTTCTTCTTTGTTGGGATTCTGTTTTGCATCACTTTCCATGCAAAAGCTGAGACTTTTAGGGACACCCTTTGATTCCAAATCAGCATATAATCTCCAAACTGTTGGGGGATGATTGTAGAATTTAGCAAATTATATGCAGAAGATACCGAGTAATTGCCATTTGGGTCCTGCCTCCATATCCATCTATCCTCTTGTCCTTGAACCAACGTTTTCCTTTGTACTTTTTCTGTGAGTTCCTGCAAAAGATTAGTTTCCCAAGCAAAAAGATTTCTCCTCCAACTCCATCTCCATTGCCACCTCCCATCCCTTTAATCTCCCATATCAGATATCAAAATCTTCTTATTACTTGCTAGAGTAAACAACCTTAGGAATCTCTCCTTTAATGAATTAATACCCACCCACTGGTCATACCAAAATAAAGTATCATCACCCCCCCCCCTCAACCCTCTTCTCAACCATCTTCCTAAACCAACCTTCTTACCCATAACATAGCCATCTAGATTCCATATGTCCTTCCACCAACTAGAGCAATGAATATCCCTCTCACCACCCCTCCAAACATTCATTCTATCAACATCATATTTAGACTCTAACACCTTACTCCATAATGAATCTTTATCCTCTAGCAACCTCCATCTCCACTTTCCTAGTAGTGCTACATTAAAAAGTCCTAAATTTTTTACTCCAAGAGCCCCAGACTTTTTATTCCAACACACTTTCTCCCACCCGACCCAAGCAATCCTACTATGCTTCCCTCCTCCCCCCCAAAGAAACCTCCTCTGAATTAAAGACAGTAAATTTAAAACCTTTTTGTGTGCTTTGAGATTTGAGAAGTAGTAGACAAGGATACTCAAGAAGACAACATTTAGGAGAATAATCCGTCCGCCAAAAGACAGCGAATCACACCTCCAGGCTGACAGCTTACGTCTAAAACAATCAATCACAGGGGTCTAGGTTGATAGTTTCCTTGAATTTGCTCTAATAGGGACACCAAGATACATGAAAGGTATATTTCTCGGCATACAGTTTAGCATTTCAGCCATATCATTCAATTCCTCTTTGTCAACATTGACACCAAATATGGAGCTTTTGAGAAAATTCACCTTTAATCCTAAGATAAGCTCAAAGCTTTTAAAGATGCATTTAATAGCCCACACATTCTTTTTTGATGCCTCGCAAAAGAGGATTGTATCATTTGCAAATTGTAGATGGGTAATTTCCACTTACCCATGATCTATGGACACCCCTTTGAAAATGCCTTCATCTGCAACCTTTGTTATTAGTCCATTAAGTGCCTCAACCACCACTAGGAACAAGAAGGGAGCTAGTAGATCACCTTGGCGAAGTACTTTTTCCATTTGAAACTCTTTTGTAGGGCTTCCATTAACCAAAACTGAAGAAGAAGCAGAATGAAGACATCCTTTAATCTAGGAGCACCATTTTGAGCATAAGCCTAGCTTTCCCAACATGTAATCCAAAACTCCCAATTCACACTATAATAAGCTTTTTCGAAATTTGCCTTAAAAAGTAGGATTGGTTTCTTTCTTCTTTTTGCCTCATGAATTAGTTCATTTTTTATTATAATACCATATGCAATTTGCCTCCCTCTAATAAAAGCCGATTGATTTAGGCTGATGATGGAATCCATGATCCTTCTCATACAGTTGGCAAGGAGTTTAGATACTATTCTGTAAAGGCAAGCAATGAGAGAAATTGGGCGGTAGTTTGTTAGACTCATGGGGTTATCCTTTTGGGAATAAGGGCTATAAAGAATGTGTTACTAGCCCTCACCAACTTTCCATTGGAATGGAACTCTTCAATGAACCTGCAGATCTCCTCCTTCATAACTAGCCACATTCTTTTAATAAATTTGAAGTTTAGTCCATCCGGGCCTGGGCTCTTGTCTCCATTGCAACTCCAAACTGCTTCCTTGATTTCTTTTTCCATAAATGTTGCCACCAACATGTCATTCTCCTCCTTACTAACTTGTTTAAAAGTATTCAAATGCAGTCTTGGCTTGCACCATTGGTCTTTTTCAATTTTTTTTTTTTTGTAATAGTCCCTGGTGAAGCTTTTGATTTCCATGACATCTTCAGTCCATTCTCCATTAATCCACATGCCATCAATTCCATTCTATTTCTTCTTTGTGTTATGCATCCATGGAAATATTTGCTATTAACATCACCTTTCTTAAGCTATCTTTATCTTAATTTCTGGTGTAGCAGATTGTCATTTGCCTTGTTCCACTCCCATAGACTCAACCAGCAATATTTTCTCTTCTTCACTTCTTCCTCTATGAGTGTGTCCTCCTCACCCTTCTCATCCAACCCCCTTATTTCCTCCTTTAATGCATCAATATTTCTCTCGATGTTTCCATAAGTGTCCTTGTTCCATGCCTTTAAGTCTTTCTTCAAGCACTTCAATTTCTCCTAAAGTCTAAAACAACCCTATCCCTCTACCTTATAGCTTTCCCATTTCTCCTTAACAAAGTCACTAAAGCCCTCATAATTCAACCAATTATTTAAACATTGAAAGGGTTTAGGCCCCTAATCAATTTGGGATTGTTTAAGAACAATAGGGCAATGATAAAAAATTTCTCTCTTTAAAGCCAACTTAGAAACACCTAGAAAATTAATAAGAAATTCAGGAGATAGCAAAAACCTATCTAGCTTGCTCATTGCAGTGCTATCTGACTTATACCAAGTAAACTTCCTTCCTGCCATAGGGATATCTTCTAGTCCTGCATCTGTAATGAACTTGCTGAAATCCCTCACATCTATTGGATCATACCATTTACCCTTCTTTTCCCCCATATCCCTTATGGCATTAAAATCACCACCAATGCACCAATTACCAACACCATATTCTTCAATTATATTCAAAAGCTCATCCCTTAGCCTATGTTTACCTTGTTTATCACAAAGAGAATACACGTCTATAAAAAAACAAGGAATTTGCTCGTTTCCCCAAACACCTTGCATACCACAAAAACTGCTACCATCTACTTTCTTATTTAACACAAAAACACTAGGGTTCCAAATACAAAGGATGCCCCCTGATCTCCCATTTGCCAGAGTTGCCACCCATTCACAATTATCTGATCCCCAAATCGATCTACAGATATTGTTATCACATACCTCTAATTTTGATTCCTAAATAAACATCAGATCTACTTTCTCCTTCCTGATTAATTCCCTTAATCCTTTCCTTTTGCTGCCGCCACCCAACCCTCTGACATTACTTGACACAATCTTCATGGGCAATTTATCTCCTCCCCCCTCTTAGTTGCTTCTCCAGCTTCTGCTTAACCATTTCTGTTCTGTCCCTTTTCTCCATTTCTCCCAACTGCCTTATGATTTCCTCCGCATTCCCTTCTGCCACCAAGCCTAGCTGCTTCCCAATCCTCCATAATTCCATGGCCTCATTACTCTAGTTCTTCTTCCCTTCAGCACTTGGTGTCAAAGCTGTGATTGCATGTTGGTTTGATATGCGTTGTAGATCCATGGCCTTTACCCCTTTTATCTTCTTTACTTGCTTTCTTTTCCTTTTTCTTTCCCGTGCAAGCCTTTTTATTGTTGCCTGAAGGATTTCGTTGTCGCTCGCAAGACCATCCCAAAATGGTTGGGTACTTTGTTCCTCCTGTATCTCTTCTTTTCTTCTATCTAGTGTTCCTCCTTTTCTTGACTTTCGCCGATCGTAATCTATTGAAGCACTTAATGTCTCACCCTCCAACTTATTGTATTTATTTTTGGGCTTATTTTGAGCATCCTTCATATTGTGAAGTGTTCCCTGGCTTATTGGGCCTTGAGTCGATGTGGGTTGAAGCTCCACACTTCCTGTATTAGCCTCATGTCTCGTGGGGTGAGTTGGGGTAAAACCTGGTGGGTGAGTCTCTTCTGAAGATGAGTGACCTGCTGTCAAATCATTGCCCAAATCAACTACTGAGAAATCTTTTTCAATTTGCAATAGTAGATAGCCAACGTTCTCCTCACTTCCTGCCATCGCCGACTCCTCGTTTGAATTTTGCTTCTCCACATTTATTGACATATTGGCCACCTCAAAAGAATCAGGCACCCTTTTGCCTTCCTCCTCTCTCACCGATGCCGATGCCATCTCCACCATTGCAAACTCCTTTACATTGTCATCCAGAACTTGCCATTCACCCCAATTTGCATTTGAAAATCGTCCATCATCATTTGTCTCATCAGACCAATCTTCTTCAATTGAGTTATCCTCCCCACGTAAGTAGAAGTCTATTCTTAATGAAAAAATATTATCCTATCACTTCCTCACTAACTCTGATGTGGAAAATGGATTCTCTAGCCTTGACCCTTATGGTTCTATTTATGTTTTCCTAGACTGGCGTTAGAACCAAAATCTTTGCAACGTCCAACCTTGTCTTTTTGATTGTGCTGTTGTCTAGCAAGATAAATCTTCCATACAAGCATGCGATAGTATGAAAGAAATTGCTTTTCCATATGTGTAATGGTACCCTTTAGCACCGAATCCACATGAATCTTTCAAAGGCAACCTCGGTTGGAGACCATGGATGAAGCTCCATAAACCATTGGGCTAACCAATCATGTCCCTCCTTCACCAGATGCTTAAGTTATTTGCGTCCTCGCATGACAGCAATACCAGATTGCCACCCATTGGGGTGACCTTTGCAAAGAAGTACCTTCTCCATCATAAACTTTTCTTGTAATGTGCTTATGATTTTTGGGCACTTGGCTCTTCCCACATAACTATTTTCAAGCCATTCAACATCCTCCTTGTCTACTCGTACCTTTAATCCGTTCCATTCCTTTTTCTCCTGCTTCTTCATTTGCCACTTCCTCATTGGCAGAATTGGTCCACTCATCCTCTTATTACTTCTTGTATCTGGTTCACCTTTCAAAACTTTTGCATAGGACTTTCCATTTCTCTTTACCTCTATCCTTCAAACTTCCTTCATGTCTTTCTGTTTCAGCTTAGTCTCCTCTTTTGAAAATATTGCTATGTTGGCTTTTAGGGATTGCTTATCAAATTTGATTTGGTTGAGCTTGTCCTTCAGTTCTCTTGGGTTCCTGCCCCTAGAAAGCGGATAAAACCGAAACAACAGCCCCACATGTCTTGTTTCTTTGCTATATAAACCTGTATTACTATCCCACATTTGATGAAAGCCTTCCACATGTGTCCAATCTCCCAATCGTTTGGAAAACTGGTGAAGAAATATGAAGTTGACTGTTCCAATACTCCCTTGCCATAACCATAGGGTGTTCTTCATTGTCCTCTGCAAATACCTCATATCGTCCTTTCAGTACCCTATAGTCTACCTCTTGGGTTTGGATGGTTTTTGTGTTTAGGATCAAGGTATCGCTCTCTCACTAGGTAGGATTCTGTTTGGGGGTTGCCAGTTACCAACCGGCCAAAAGCCAGCAGGAACGAGTGGAAGGTTCTCACTCTCTGTTTTTCTCCTCTCATCACGCCTTAATTAGAATAAGGGTTAAATTACCATAAGAATAAGGGTTAAATTACTCAAATCATGGAGTGTATGGGTTTATATGTATCACTTAAAGTTTAGGGACTCAATAGTAAATTAGGGTTAGTTTAGGGGCTTAACAATATGGTTTTACCATTTTTTAATGCCAATAGTATTAAATTTGCCCCACTAAAAATTGAAACTTTCTTTTATCCCTCAACAATTTCCCCTCCATTTATTACTGTTTTCCAAATTATGGAACTTTTTTTTTCTCAATTTTAGTGATAATTGTTTTTCATTTGTTTGTTAGTTGGCCATCGATCATGTGATTATTTCTGTAAATATGAATTATATAAAGAGAAGGAGTTTATTTACACATAAGTTTTACACATTGTGTTTATATAAAATTAATCTCAATAATTCATCTTTCTATTTTCAATTGTTAAAATTTATTCATATTTATTAAAAAAATTATTGTTTTTATTTAAATAAATATGAATTATATAAAGAGGAGAAGTTTATTTACACATAAGTTTTACACATTATATTTATATAAAATTAACCTTAATAATTCATCTTTCTATTTTCAGTTGTTAAAATTTATTGATATTTATTAAAAATAATTATTTTTTTATTTAAAATGTCATGATAAATCTCAACAATTGAAAGTGGAGAGATAAATGGTCAAGATTTTGTATAAACGTATTGTGTAGAACTTATGTGTAAGTTGATCTCTCCTCTTATATAACTAACTTTAAATAATTATTGTTTTTATTTGAAATGTTATAATAAATCTCAATCATTAAAAATGGAGAGATAAATGATTAAGATTTTGTATAAGCGTGTTGTGTAAAACTTATGTGTAAGTTAATCTCTCCTCTTATATAACTGACTTTAAATAAAAATTAATCAAAAATAATTATTTTTTTATTTGAAATGTCATAATAAATCTCAACAATTGGAAGTAGAGAGATAAATTATCAAGATTTTATATAAAC